TAAGATACGTTTTTTTTAAACACTGGACCACTGTCTGAGAGCCAGTCCTGTAATCCTATGACCCCTCCTGATTTTATGTTGTTTCCCCAGGGTTGGTAAACCTTTCAATTTTTGGAGACCTAAGGAACAATTGCAGTTTAGACTCCAAAGCCTCCAACATTTAATTTTAAAATTCCTTCTAGACACACTTAGAAGGAAAAGTATAAAGATAGTGAATAAAGAAAAGAGGAAAGAAGAAAAGGTTGCAGGGAGCGGTAAGGAGACAAATGGAGGCTCAAGAGGAAGAAAAGAAAATGAGAAAGGTAACAGACTTATGTAACCCTCCCATCCACCAAGAAGCTTGAAAATCCTTACAAATGTGTTTCGTACGTTTTTGTATCACCTCAGTTAGCAGGTGGGAAACGTGATCTTTAAATAATAACATTCTATTTAGTGCGTTTTCCCAAACAGCTTATGAAATAGCTGAGTGGACATCATCCAAGTGATCCTCTGTGTAGAGTAAGGAAGTAGTAGGAGTTAGAATTCCCATTTTACAGATGATGAAACAGTTGATGAGGCTAATAATAGCGGCTCACACTAAACACTCATTTGCCATTTGTCAAGCATTGTGCTAAACCCTCAATTGCATTATCTAATTTAATCCTTATAACAAGGCTACGACATTGGCACTGTTATCTTCATTTTCCCCCACGATGAAAAGGACACTCAGAGAGGGAGAATAACTTGCCTGTGGTTACAGATCTGGAAAATGATGGGGCTGATCGAAGCTCAGGGCTGTCAGACTCACTGTTCTATTTTTCCAGGTCAGTCTGCTCTCCGCTAAATCAGCACTCTTTTTCGCTAATACTTGCTCACTGGCAAAATTCCGTTTAAAGGGAAGCTCAAAGCATCACCAAATATAATAATAGGGTGCAATGTACTAGAATTTGCAAAGCATTTTCCTTCCCACAGACTTTCTCCTTCCTATCTTATAACCACGCTGAAAAATAGGCAGGGCAGGTGTGTTAACTTACGTTTTACAGATGAGGAAATTGAAAGTCAAAGCTCTTGGTTATGTTAGTTAGCGATCACGTAGCTAGTAAGGGTAGTTAGTGTTGCGGAGCTAGTTAATGGCCGAGTTAGGACCAGCAGACCTTTCTTCTGATTCCAGATCCTGTGCTTCTGGGGTACTCTTTGCAAACCTCATGGGCCCACACCTTTAGCTACTGACTTCTTTCTGTGTCCTCTCTGATGTTCATGGTGAGAAGTCGAGCAGGCTTATTACAAATTAAATATCTGGATGCTTGAACTGATGAACAGGAAATGAGGCTGTAATGCTCAGAGGAATGAAATTGAGATGCGTTTTTTTTTTTAGTAGAATTTTGGGCCAAGTGGCCTCTTTCTGTCCTTCTCTTCCCTGTGTCCTTCCAGTCTCCATGGAAACCCCAAATCAATGCAGCATATGTTGATTCATGTTTCCACTGTTACTAGGAAGCTACAAAGTAGAAATTGCTTTTAAAAGATTTGCGGAAGAGCTTTAGCATGCTGACCAGAATTCAAATCTAATATCCAAATGGCTGTTTTATTAAAAGCTTTTAATGTGATACTATCCTAGGTGGTATGTTGATTAAATAAGCACACAGGGGGCATTTGGCAATGAACCTCCTCCTCCACTGTCATGGCTTTTAAAAATATTGTATTGCAGACTTTAATTCCCTTTATCTTCAATTTAATTACATTTTTGTGGCTTGTGTGACAATGCCAGGTGCTCCTTTTGTTCTTGATTAATTCCACCCTGTCCCGAGGGCTGTTGGGAACAATAGTGTGCAAATGCCTCAGGTCCCTGCGCTGCTGCACAGAAGTGTCGTTCGCATTAGGCTGACTTCAGTCTTGACCTGGAGACTCTCAGAAGCCTAACGTGTTTCTGTCGTAAGGAATCTTCGGAGATTTTTTAGATTTTTTTATAAACTCAAAATCAAATTCAGCCAACATTTATTAAACACCTGCTCCGTACAAGGCAATGAGAATTGATACGAAGGGGAGTCTGCCTTTTTGGGGCACATAGTCATTTGGGAGGATCAGAAAACATCAATCATAAGGATCAAGCTCAGACTGCAGGCTGTCAGGGAATCACACAGCGATGGGGTGCTATTGGGATGGAGGGAGTCCTTCTTTGTGAGAGAGTTCTGAAAAAGCTTTGGCAAGGAGAATTTTTAGCTTGGAGGGATTGGGTTTCTGGAGGGAGCTGGGAGTTAAGGGGCAGATCCAGGGTGGGGACATTCTGGGCAGAGGGAGCAGCAGAGGAATCCGGTGTGTGTGTGTGTTCCTGTATGTGTGTGTGTATGTGTGTGTGCGCACAGTGGGATACAAGACTGGATAGGTAAATGGGACCAAATTATTGGAATGTCAGGCAGGACAAGAGGCTGCAATGGAGCCCATCGAAGATTATTATACAGACGATCTCCTTTATGGTGTCTGTTCAGTGGGTAACTCTCACGGTGGTGTAGTGTGCCAGAAGGTTTGTGGGGGAAGGGGGGTGATGAAATGGGGGCAGGAAGATCAGTTATTTAGGAGGGGTGGAAGGGCATGCACTGTGCTGGGTGCTGAAAAACCTCTGACATGGCAGCGTCAATGGATGGGAGGGGATGAAGTTGAGAAATAGTTCAGAACTATAATGACAAGGTTTAAAAACCAATTCAGCAAGGCGAATGGAGAAAAAGAAGCCCCAAATACTGCACTTGTTACCCTGTGGGGCTAGGACAGAGTGATGTCATGAACACTCGTAGGGAGCCTGGCAGGAATGGAGGATCTGGAAGGAAAGGTGGTTGTTTCAGCAGCAGTTGAGTCTTGGGGTCTGAGAGGGGTGGAGCTGGCTAGCAGACCTCTGGAAAAGCAGTCTGGAGCTCAGGAGAGGCAGGACTGAAGCACTGATTCTGGAAAGAAGCAGTGGCATGTGCCTGGAAAGGTTGGGTTTTCCAGAAGGAGCAGGTACAGGATGGGAAGAGCAGAGGAGTGCAGGGCAGCTGAGAAGCCAGAGCAGAGCTTGTAATCACTGTTTTCCTGGGAAAAACCATGTGCTGCAGCCAGTGGAGGCATCCTGTGCCCAGTCTTCAGCCAGCAACTCAGGAGCTGTAACCAGAAAAGAATCCAGAACTCTGGGCTGGGGCTCTAAGCTTGGGGATGCAGAGTCCAAGTAGGTGAGTGTCTTTCCCATTAGCCCTCCAACCTGCCTGCCTTGTCCTGTCTCTCTCCTTCAGGAAGGAAGACCACACTAGAACGCTCACCCCCTCGGTTCAGCTTAACTTCCCCTCTGGAAATCTTTAGGCACCTGCCTCTACAGGGAGGAAGACTAAGTTAGAGTCTGCCCCCGAGAGGGGGGCCTGTACTAATCTGTGCTCCTCAAACTAGAGTGCTGCGGGGTTATTCCTTGGTGGTTAGGTGTGTTTGGTAAAAAAAGTTTGGACTAGTTTTAATTTTCTCTTTTTACTCATGCTAGATGCATGTCCACACATTCTTGTCCCTCTCTCTTTACATTCCTATTCTTTCCTTTAAACTTAATTATTATATCTTTCCTTAAACAGTGGGTTGGCTTATTGACTTACTGTGATTATATTGTTTCTCTAAAGGCTGACTGAAGATTCTGAAGCCTGGTTAATATTGGTCAGCTTGCACTTGAGATGTGGGCCCATCCGCAGCCCTGACCTTTCTTCTCGGTGCCTTTAAATCCTGGATGCCAGACTGGGCAGCATGAGACATGGAGGAGGCCTCTATCCCACCATTTTAGCACCAGCAGAGGAGTCAACTGATGACATACCTTTGCGTTAAAGCGAGGGGCAGAGCAGAGACTGGAAGCACGAAGTTTAGTATCAGACACCAGCTCTGCTACTTATAAAGGACCTGTTTTGTTTTTCCATCTGTAAAATGGGGATAGTAAAGATGTCGACCTAGTGAGTTTGCTGTGAGAGTTAAATGAGATAAGGCAAGTGCAACGTTTAGCATAGTGTCTGGCACATTTCTCAGAGCTCATTAAACATTAGCTATGTGCATGGAATCCAGGGATGGATCTACCTTATGGTACAAACTTATCTTGGATAAGGGAAGTGCTTATCGACGGGCTTTTTTTCACCAGTTTATCTGTGTACCTGTTTTTTATGGTACCAGGAAAATGTCCAGACATGAAGGATTCTCTTTATGCTTAAATTCTAAACCCAGCTAGCAACAGGTCTCAAGACAGGGATTATGAGGGATAGAATATGTTTCTTTTGCATCTCATTTTATAACACTAAGTTCCCTTTACCTAACAGAGGGGAACTGTGGACATTTCAGAGAGAGACAGTGAGTCACTGTGGAGGAAGCATCAGAATTTTTATGTCATCCCTGTCATCAGGCAACGTGCGGTTGCGGCAGAATCACTTCACCGTGAGAATACGGGTTATGCACCAATAGGTCTGCCAGGAAGACTGGGTCCCGGCATGACGTAGTAGAAAAAGTTCTGCTGTAAGAGTCAGAAGAAAACGAGTTCTGGTCCTTGAGCTTCCTCTTACATGTTGTGTCACTTTGAAAAAAGCATGTCACCTTTTTTAGCCTTGGTTTTCTCATCTGTAACACGAGGATAATAATACTCTCTCTGACTGTGGCGTGGGGTTGTTGAGTGACAATATGCGAAAATGCTGTCTACATTGTAGAAGGTTAACCAAATGGAATCTAACATCTTTATGATAAAGCCATCACTTTCCGCGGAGATTTCTGCTGCCTCTAGCAAGTGCTGCCTTCTGGGTTTCAGAAATGACTTGCAGCAAAGGTCAGGTGCTTTTGGAACTTGTTCCTGAGTGGGAGCAGGAGACTCAGCCTTAGAGACCTAGAGCGGATTGAGGAGAAGGCAAGCTTTATCCCAGGGCAGTGGTTTGCAAACTTTAGCATGCATCAGAATCACCTGGAAAGCTGGGCCCCAACCCCAGAGTTTCTGATTCTGTAGGTCTGGGGGTGGGGCCTGAGAATTTGCATTTCTAACACATTTCCAGGTGATGCTGACGCTGCTGGTCCAGGGACCACACTCAGAGAACCGCTGCACTAGGGCAAGCAGGAAGAGAGTCCTCCTTCTGGAACTGAAACAGGCAGTGTGAAGATCCATGTGAGTAAGGCGGCTTGGAAGAAGAAATGTAGAAGACAGAAAAATAGGGATAATGTGCAGATTGGGCAGAACAAAGGGAAAAGTCTCATTCCGTAACAAATGCGAGTAGGGGGAAGTTGCTAGGTGATGGATGATGAAGAGAGGTGAATTTCCACTGCAGGAAAAACCAGGAGCGCAGAGTTAGAAATATACATGTTTGGGGAGGCAGAGGAGGTGGAAATTTCTCATTAAGAAGTGAGGAGTGGTGTGGTTGGTGCTGGGGGGTGGGAGTGGAGATGGGCTGGGGGAGAAATGCCTCTGGAGAGTAAGAGGGACAGCTGAGATGTGGCAGAAGCGGGTAATTTCAGGGCTGTGTGGTTTAGCTTGGTAGCGCAGCACAATAGAAATTGGGAGAAAGGGGGTGGAATTTAGATGTGTGACCTGCCCCGTAGCGTTCTTGCTCTCTGCATTTATCACATCACATCACACCCAGCAAGACAGCCCCCCTCCTCCTGGCTCATTAGGAGATTTGATTCGGCTTGGCTCCTGCTGTCAGCAGCTGTCTGGGGCAAGATCTTTATGCTCCCTGCTCCCTGAACAGCAAGCAGCCTTCGGCCAGCAGCAGAGCTCATTAGAAGAGGCCCCCTGGACATTTGATTTTCAAGTCATTGGTGGCCGGAAAGAGTTAATACCTACAGCTTTGCTGCCCCCTGCACAGCCTCTGGGTGCAGAGGGAGGCAGCTTTGGGCTGTGGAGACTTCTCCCTGAGCCGCAGCCAGAGGAGCATAGAAGCAGGTTAGTGAGGCCAGGGAGGAAGGTGCGGGAGGAGTGCCAGGCGAGCTCTGCTCAGGGGCACCTCCTGCATCCTGCCAATGAGGATGGGTGTGCAGACGGTGTCCCGGAGCTCAGCCGCCGCCCGTTGGGTGTAGGCTGCTTCAGTATTTACTGGATGTGACAATTAGAGAGCAGAGCTTTCAGTGGGGCTGCTTGCTGCCCGGCTCAAGTGGTGGGAGGTGTGTTGTGCATGCATGCGTGTATATATGTATGTGTATGCGCGTGTGTCCATGTGTGTCCATGCACACATGCCCTTCACCTGCCAAGGATTTGACTGCTAAGAGAAAGATCTACTCTTTCCCCAGAGCTCCTTAACCTGCAGCCTGTCTGACCATCTGGTTGGCAAAGACCCGCAGGCCATGAGGACTGGTCAAAGACAGTGAGTATTGCTCTTGCTTGTCTCTTTCCTCTCCGGGGTGCCCGTGTGGGCTGATTGCATTATCCATATTTAATTAACCCGCCTCTCCTTGCATATTGATTGCTTTCTCCCTGCTGAGGCTCTTAGTTTCTCTTCCCCTCTTTATACGTCTTTGCTCTTTGCTTTTAACCTTTGTTTTTTCCTTGAGTATCCTCTCTTTCCATTATGTCCCATCCTGTCTGCCCCAGAGTCACCTGTAACTTGATGTCCACCTATCAGGGCACGTGTAATGTGGGTACAATCATACCCTCAGCCTTCCTGGGCTCTGGGTAACCCCAAACACTGTCCCCCAGAAGTCAAGGGCCATGTGGGATCAGAGCCCTGAGGTGCTGGGATGAATGAGGAAGGTGGGTCAGAGAAGCCTGCAGGTTCTTATTTAATCAACTCCAAAGCTGAGCTAATTGAAGGGGCGGTGGAGGGTCCCGGAAGCCACGGTGGGCAGCGCTGGATTTGGAAGAGAGAGAGGCAGGCATCTAAGCCGCTCCAGCTTGCTGGTGTGGGCTAGCAGTGGAACGGGAAGAGCGACAAGGCAGTGACAGGAGGCCGGGTGATAACCGCCCCAGATGACCTTGCCTGCTGTGTATGTGGAGAGTAGTCCCTGGTTCTGCTCAGCTCCAGGGTAATGAAGGTCCCTGGCACGGACTCCCCCTCCTCTGGGGCATATCCCACAAGAGAGAGAAAATGAGGCTTAGGTGCCCAAAATAATGATTTCTAGAGACCCTTACAGCTGTAAAGAGCTTTGATTTCCTGACTTCTGGGCAAGCAGGTGTATGCACAGTTAAGACAAAGATTACAGAAGTGTCCCAGCTGTCAGGGAGCCCGATCCACGCTCCATCTCCTGGGAATGAGCCTTTACATAAAGTCTAACGGATTTTTTTTTTGGTTTTAACAAAGCCATCTTTTTATTTTATTAATTGTGGTATTATTAGAGAAGGTATTTAAAAAAGTATTTGTGAAATGTTCCAGGTAATATCAAAATGATTTAACCAGCGTAGACTGCATCGAGGCCTTATCCATCTAAATTAGGTTTCTGTTAAAATGGATTCTATGTTCGGTATCAGGGTTCCCCAGGGGAACACTTTATGTATAGGCTGCTCTCTTCACGTGTTTCTTCCTATCGGTTTTCTTCTGTGAGAACAAAGCATTTGAAGCACCGAGAATGGGACCCTCAGGAGAGAGAGATGATGAGTCAATCAGCCCTAAACCTCAGCATCCCTCTCCTGGTGTCCTCCCTGCTTCCGGTCTGGAACGGGCCAGTCCGCAGGCTGAGGAAGGCCGGGCAGCCTCCATATGGGCAAGAAAGAGTGACTTGCACATTCATTTATTCAGCCTGTGCCTGTCATCCCTGCAAAGGAGCAAGCCTGTATGGTGACAGTGCCTGACAAGCTCCCTTGGAGTTGCTCCAACCTTCCTCCCGCTCACGTCCTCCCAAGGCTCCTCGAACTCCCACCTCCAGGACAGGTTCCCTTGGAGGGAGGCGAGAATCAGAACAGCAGCCAATCAGATGATTCTGGAGCAAGTGCTGACCCCTCCCCCACCCCCCGCTGGCTGGTCATTTGGGCCCCACTGGAGTAAGACAAAGAGAGCAGTAATTTTTGGCTAGCCAGGCCCACGCCCCCCTCCCCTGGGGCACATGTCCCACTGTACTGTCGATGGCCAGTGGTTGGGAAATAGAAACTCCTGACCAAAAGGCAGCCGTGTGAAGCCAACTGACAAGTTGTTCTTGTCCGTCCTTGGTTGGTCCCCCTTGCTCAGGACCAGCAGACGTCTGTGGGGAATGGGGTGCGTGTGGGGAGGTATTCACTTGGTGGAAAGCCGTCTGAGAGGATTTGTAGCCCCATTAGATAAGAGAGGGTGGCCCCCTCTTACAGCAGATTCTTTGATTTTAGGTGAGAGGACGTGAAAGGGTAAATCCCTGTGCCCCGCAGTCTTATCCCGCCCTGACGTCCCTGCAAACCAGCCAGAGGGTTAACCGTAAGCGGGTTCCTGTATGGCCGCTTTACTGATGCCACGCAGGTAACTGATGCTCACCTGTCTTCTTGTGCCTGCGCCTTTCCTCCTTCTCCATCCTCCCACCTCCCCTGCTGTTTGAGCCTGCCCAAGCCGTCTAATCCGGTGGGTGGTCCACTTGCATCCATCCCCCAGGCCTCCTGTGTGGACTGCACTGGCCTTCCCTGGGTGCATCTTGCAAAGTTGTGGCCTTGCAAGTAGGACCTGCCTTAGCGCCAAGCCCTCCCATTGACTGGTGGGACTTACGGGGTGGGACAGTGCATGAGCTTGTATGGAGCCATTTAGGGAGCTCTATGAGTTACTGGACAGCGAAGAAATGAGGGCGAGCCTAGGTATTTTTTCTTTGTAAACTTAACCTTTGTCTCTTGCTTCTGCTCCCGTTATTTCAGACCTAACTAAAAGGTTATAGCTCAGGTCACGGCTAGACAAGATGGCAAATCAAAACCATTTTGTCCCAAAGATTATTTTGTGGAAGAATTTAGCTAAGATTTGGGAGAATCACTGTTGTCTTGGTAAAAAGCAGCACCCTTTACACTGGTCCCTGCTCAACTTTGTTAGATGGCTTGGGTGGAGTATGCCATTTTTTTTTTTTTTTTGTGAGGAAGATCAGCCCTGAGCTAACACCTGCCAATCCTCCTCTTTTTTTGCTGAGGAAGACT